TCAGCAGACACATTCAAATGCACACACTCATTCTTTGTATATTCCATATTTACATAAAATATTTGGAGTGTATATTATCATTCCAAGTGATTCACACTTTAACCAACCATTTCTGTTTTCCTACCTATTGAGCCCAGGCAGTCTGATTATAAAGTTCTCACCAAATCTCCCGTGTAGTGCTTTTCACAGTGAAGTATGTTTTGTAGTGCATCTGTTTCTTACCAGCTTGTGAATTCTTTGGTCACAGCATCAGTGACCTCCTGGCCTTTATGTATGGCTCAGAAATATATTTTAGATTTTGTGTTAAGGGGAATCAAATCTGACAATTTGCAAGAGCCTAAAGATAAAAGTCCTGTGCAATGTGCATCCCAGGACAGCCTAGACAATTGATACTATTCTTTCTGCTTTCATGCCTAGCATTGTCAGAGATATAGCCAGAGTTGCAGCTAAACAGTATGCTCTTTAAACTGAAGCAGTACATGGTTCATGTTGTGTGAAACATTCCCATTTGTAATTGTTGTTATGATACGTAGAAAATTATATTAAGGACATATTAGAGATTAGTTGTATATTTTATACAATAGGTAATTGTCATACTGACCCTCCAGAACAGGTACTACATTCATATGACAGATGAGAAAGTCAAAATTACAAGGAAAAGAGGGCTTTGTGTTAGATAGAAAACAAAGGTTCAAATCGATTTTAAATTCTGTATCAGCATATGCATCATAGCATTGTGTTACCAAATAAGAAATGAGTAATATGGACATACAACATGATTTTGTTAATGTGTTTATTCTTTCCAGTTTGATTTATTTTAATCATTGATACTTAAGTTGTCAGACAGTAGACATACTTTATTCGTGATATAATTTGGTTTGAACTTATGTTATTATTTGTGAATATAAATATAGAATTGGTACTTTCTACACATAAAAAGAATTTTGAAGGAGTACTCTTTGCACAACCGGTAGGTTTTATTATTTGTACATATTAGCATGTGTTTATACATTGTGTATCTGCAGAAAATTTTCTACTCCATGTTCTATAAAACAGAGATTTCCTTCATCTACTTTTATGTGTTCCATTGGATTCACTCAATATTTTTTTCTACAGAACTGTGCTGTGCAGACAGTTCATAATATAACTTGTTTTGGCCAGCCGTCCATCCTCTAAGATCTCACTTGTTCTCTTAATCCTTTTTTTTCTAACTCCATCAAACTATCTTGAAAACAACCAGTGGGAGGCTAGTGATTTCACATTTGTGTGAGGGGAAAAAACATTCGGGCATGGAATACATTCTACACTTCACCCTGTTTTTCAAATCAACAACCAGCATGGTTGTTGTTTTTTTCTATAAGAGTGTTAATAGGACCTTCTCCTTTTCCTTTGTAGGAATTTTAATCAAAGGAATCCATTGGGGTTAAGTCCAAATATTAGGTAGATCTGCTTTGCCTTTCTTCAATATGAATATTCTATTAGCAGCTGAATAACAAAAGTAGACTTTGGAAGAGTAGAGTCTCAAAGCCTTGGGGAGGAAAATGACTTGTGTAATGAAAATGCTACCGGGCATTTAACTAAAGCAGCTCTGGCAGGGACAATTATAATATAATTTATCACCAGAAAGCACACTAAGATGCGGCATACATAATTATTCTATCAGGAAGCTGAGAAGACTAGCAAAACTCATTTGAATTAAGAACCAAAAATGTGAGTCACCAGGAAATTATGAGGTGGCAAACTATCAGTAAAATTCAGAAGAATGTTAAAAATCTTTCAAAACACATATGCAAATTTTCGAATAATGTCTATTACTAAACAAAAGGTTAAAATGCACTAAAAGTTTAGCAGAAAGAACCAGTCCTTAGAGATGCACATGTATCCCAAACAGAACAAATTCTCTACCTTTTCTTTTTCTCTTGTTGAGAGCTATAATTTGGGGTTCAGGCATGAAAGATAAAATTATTCCAACTTGCTGAACACAAGGAGAACGCTTTATACATATATTCTATCTACACTGTAATGTATCGTGTTGGCTAACAGAGTTCCGCCCACTCGATTCTCAGGGAATCTGTGTTGTGTATGAATTGTTGGTCTGTTCTTTATGTGGCATCTTTTTATAGTCACCTGCACTAAAATACAGTATCTATAAGTGTAAATCATATTGTATATTTCCAACAATATTCACTCATGTTTCTTATTGTCATTTATGACTGTTTGTTTCGCTTGTTGAGCTTTTCAATACACAGTCTCATTTAGCTTAAGATGGCCTCAAATGCATTGTGCAAGTAAGATTGGCCTCAAACAACAGTTCTTACTGCCTCAACTTCCCTGGTGCTTGGACTACTAGTTCACTTAATGCTTTTGTAAAAGGATTGCCAGGACAGAAGAGAAAAGAATAATGTTTTCTGTTCTGCTCATCCTTGAGGAAGTACCTAGCCAAAGATAGCCCCTCTTCTGGGTCACCTCTATAAACACTAACAAATCTCTATGGGACTAGTCTAGCAAGAATTATTTTCCTTTTGCATTTGTGACAGGTGAATTGGATATAATTTACAAAAGAAAATACAGAGACAAAAGGAAAATAAGCAAAGGATACATGGAAACAAAAATGACCTTACAGCCTAATGAGATACAATTTGAGGATCTCAAGGCTACAGAAAAGCAATAAAGGCTGGTGGAAAAATACACAAGGCTAGTTTTGGTTTTAAATCATTTTTATTTTTTAAAGGTGGTACAGCATGGAGTCTGTACCTCATTTAAAGGCTGTAGGCTGAGATATAATCTCTGTTTTACTTTGCTGCTTTTTCTATGGAGAGGTGTGATGCTTTGCCTGGCTGTCACTGGGAGAGAAGTCATAGGGGCTAGCCTATACTCATACTCATGGATGCGATCAAGTAGAAGGCATTTTTTGGCCTTTTATACAATGTTGGTCAGCAGCACTCCATTGTCCGCTGCTACAGCTCACTTTCCTCTTCTGGATGCAGAGTCCCTGATCATCAGTGCAAGGCTCTGAGAAAAAGTCAAGTACAATCTCAGCTAGGATCTCTTTAATGAGTATTGTTTTCTGTTTCAAAACCTGGCCATACTTGTACGCAATAAATAAAAACAAAAAGCTTTCCCGATGCAGTATTTTTATACCTTTTAAGGGGTATATAGGCCACAAAGAATTTGACTCCCCCTTCTCTATCTAAAGTTAAAGTTCTTTCCCAGGCCATAATTTAGTGTTTGCTACATTTGGATAAAACATACATCAGGTATGGCTTAATGAAGTCATCCCTTCCTTGGCTTGTGCTCCTAATTCTATGCATAACCCCTAGGTTTGTCTTTTCCTCTATCATACTGTTCCCAGAATGTGATATCCCTGTGATAATTAATATTGGTTGTCAAATTAGGAAATCTAGAACCAACTAAGGGACAGGCTTCTGACCATGTCTGTGAAAGGGTTGTCTAGATAGGTTAATTAGGGTGAGATGACCCACCTTCATTGTGATGGTGCCATTCCATGGGCTAGGATCCTATAAGACTGAGCATTAGAATCACTTGTCTCATTCTCTCCTTCGTCCCTATGGATGCAATGCGACCAGCTGCCTTAATGTGTGTCCCCATGACTTTCTTGCTATGACAACTAAATCCTTGAACTCTGAGCCAAATAAACCTTTCTCCCTCAAGATGTTTTTGTCCAGATATTTAGGAAAAGTAGCTAGTACAGGAATGATTTATATGAGTGCACATTTCTCATATTGTTATGTCTTAGGCTTTTAAAAATAAACATAATGAATTCATTTCACATCTTGTCTAAGGTTCTCCTGGAATAAACCTAGATACATTCATTCCCAGAAAAGTCTCCAGATCTAGCCCTCCCTACCTCTAGAATGCAGGAGGACTTTCCTAACTTTGAAAGGAAAGGAGAACTGAGAAAAATCTCCTTTAAGTCTGAGTACTGTATCAGTCTTTGATGCATTAACCCAAAGGTTAGAGGTACTGAGAGGGACAGCAGTGAGGTCCATCTCTTAAAGCCAATTAAAGGCTGAAGGCAGAAGCGATAGAGTTTATTTAGACCTTAAGCATTTTGTAAACACAATAAAAACAATAAGAAATATAGTCTACTAGAAACAGAAAGTGAGAAACTATAATGTCAGGAAAATCAGTCCACATAGGAGAACCAGGAATGAAAGAAATACTACAATAACCAGAATGGAATTTAGAGTAACTATTAGAATAGAAAGCCAGAAGTGTCATACCAACTGAAAATTGGACAGAGAGGGAGACGCCACTCTGGTGGAGATTATCTTTCAAAAGACACAGGGATATTGCATCGGGAAAACATTGTTATTCACTTTGTATATAGGTTTTGTCAGGTTTTCAGACACAAAACAGCACTTCCAGAAGAAATCATAGATTATGAGATTTTCCCTAATGACCAGGGAGCCCAGGATTCTGGAAGGGTTAGGGTTAACTGTGATTCATATAACACAATGTTTCTGATGCTAACTGTTCAAGCAATGGTTTTCACAGTGTGTACAGATGATCAACACCAGCAATGTATCTTGAGAAATTACTTAATCACATGTGCTTTGAAATGATGCCCAGGTGACTGTGGTGCTTACAAAATCTTCAAATTTTAGTTGGGATATATTTTAAATGGAATTTACCCTTATTAACAAAAATAACATTCAGCCCAGATGTCTGCATCATTAAATCTAATGAACTGTCAAGATGAAGTGACAAAAATTTGGGAAACATTTTCAATGCAAAGGAAAGTGAGGTATTTTTAAATTCATAAGAGCTTAAAAAACAAAACAAACAAGAACAAAATGAAACAAACAAACAAAAAAAAAAACCAGTGTGGTATGGAGAGATGCAGTATAATGCAGTATGGAGTGATGTGGTGGCATGGGGTGGTGTGGTGTGGCATGGGGTGGTGTGGGGTGGTGGCATGGGGTGGTGTCGTGGCATGGGGTGGTGTGGTGTGGCATGGGGTGGTGTGGGGTGGTGGCATGGGGTGGGGTGGTGTGGCATGGAGTGGTGTGGGGTGGTGGCATGGGGTGGGGTGGTGTGGCATGGAGTGGTGTGGTGTGGCATGGGGTGGTGTGGGGTGGTGGCATGGCATGGGGTGGTGTGGCATGGGGTGGTTGGGGTGGTGGCATGGAGTGGTGTGGTGTGACATGGGGTGGTGTGTGGTGGCATGGGGTGGTGTGGCATGGCATGGGGTGGTGTGGGGTGGTGGCATGGGGTCGTGTGGTGGCATGGGGTGGTGTGGTGGCATGGGGTGGTGTGGGGTGGTGGCATGGGGTCGTGTGGTGGCATGGGGTGGTGTGGTGTGGCATGGGGTGGTGTGGGGTGGTGGCATGGGGTCGTGTGGTGGCATGGGGGTGGTGTGGTGTGGCATGGGGTCGTGTGGTGGCATGGGGTGGTGTGGTGTGGCATGGGGTGGTGTGGGGTGGTGGCATGGGGTCGTGTGGTGGCATGGGGTGGTGTGGTGTGGCATGGGGTGGTGTGGGGTGGTGGCATGGGGTGGTGTGGTGGCATGGGGTGGTGTGGGGTGGTGGCATGGGGTCGTGTGGTGGCATGGGGTGGTGTGGTGTGGCATGGGGTGGTGTGGGGTGGTGGCATGGGGTCGTGTGGTGGCATGGGGTGGTGTGGTGTGGCATGGGGTCGTGTGGTGGCATGGGGTCGTGTGGTGGCATGGGGTGGTGTGGGGTGGTGGCATGGGGTGGTGTGGTGTGGCATGGGGTGGTGTGGTGTGGCATGGGGTCGTGTGGTGGCATGGGGTGGTGTGGTGTGGCATGGGGTGGTGTGGGGTGGTGGCATGGGGTCGTGTGGTGGCATGGGGTCGTGTGGTGGCATGGGGTGTTGTGGTGTGGCATGGGGTCGTGTGGTGGCATGGGGTGGTGTGGTGTGGCATGGGGTGGTGTGTGGTGGTGGCATGGGGTCGTGTGGTGGCATGGGGTGGTGTGCTTTGCTGGTGTGGACTGGAGTGCAGCAATGGGGTATGGAATAGAGTAGTATGGGGTGGGGTGGTGTAGAGTATAGTGGTATAGTGTGGGGCAGTGTGGCGTGGTGTGGAGTGGAGTGGTGTGGTATGGTGTGTTTGGAATCTTAAGGTGACAGAATTGTGGATTCAAGGCCTGCCTGGGACACATAGTGAGTTCTTAGATAGCCAAACTGAAAAACAAGACTCGCTCTCAAAACACAAATTCAAGAGGAGGAGGGTGTAGGAAGGAGGAGGAGGAAGAGGAGGAAAGAAAGGGAAGCAATGGGGGAAAAATGACTCAGAGATTATGTATTAAATCACATTTATCACAAGGCCTTTAAAAGTTCCTTCTAAGTAAACATAGAATAGTATCATCTCACACAAGTCAAAGGACCAGACCAGCTGCTTGAAATAGTCCCTTCTAAAGTAATACTATAATAAAGGAAGATATGAAGTTGAGGGTGGAGTAGAGAAGGAGTGGATCTAGGAGGAATTGGAGAAAGGAGGGGAAAATAGATATCATCAAGATGCCAAGATATATTTTCAAATGATTAAAAATATTGTATTTCTAAAAGAATACTTTCTATAAGGAAATATAGAGCATCATCTGTGGGTGACCGCCATGGTTTGAATGAAGTACCTGAGATGATAATGATAGGGATGAGGAGGAGGTGGAGGGCTGATGACTGATGATGACTTTTATGATGACTATTGCTCAAAGTAGAAGAAGAAAAACACAAAGAAATTAAAGGTTTGCTCAAAAGACATGATGTTATTTAGCTCCATTAGGCCATTAGCTTCTTGTGTGAAAAATTCATTCACTTTAGCTACAAAACAACATGTATTGATTCAGTGCAGAAATTAAAGCAGCACTTCAAAGTCTAGTTCACAGCTATTTATTTCTTTTACTTCTTAAACTTTTTTTTTACTTTTCATCGTGTCTTTGACACTTCGTGAAAATCTGTAAACTGCAGAGGGATAGCTTGAGTTAGCTTGAGTTCAGATTCTAAGAGGTTTACCTCATTGGAGGTATTAACACCTTGCCATAAAAATTAAGAATCGGCAATTGTTCTGGTTCTTCACAGATTAAGAGCTGAAGTGAAAAAAAAATATTCCTGTAGATGGTAATGATCAGTAATTATTAAAGTACTAATTATTACTGTAATAAGAATAACCATTACTGAGAAAACCACATCAGCACCGGTGTTCAGTGCAGTTTACCAGATTACTTTAAATTGTTTTCTTCTTAAAGTAGGAAATTAAAAAGGAATTGGAAAATCAGACATTTGCTACCATTCATGGTCAGCTACAGGCACAGCCACAGGGCATAGCCACGTGAATAATGGCCTCTCACTGTCCAGACAAGCGGGTGACTCATTTGCAGACAGGCCTGCTGAATTGAATTGTAATTGCTGGAAAATTTCACAATTTTCTGCCTCATGTTGTGAATAAAAAGAAGGAACAAATGCTAGCTTAATGAACAGCTAACACGTTTGTTTGGCTAATTTGAATGGCCTAATCTAATGTTTCAATCTTTTGATCAATAAAAGACCAAAACACCTTCCACTAACTTTTAAACATAACAAGAAAAGGAAATGGACTCAGCAAGACACATTTGGACAACCTGTGAAGCGAAAGAAAACTGCAGTACCTTGTCCCCAAGTGTCCTTGTTGCTATCTTTCTGCTCTTCCTGTTCCCTGTTTCATTTAACAAATATTTATTGAGATTTTTTCAATGCCGAGTGCAGAAAAAGCTATACGTATTGACATATGCACACAGGGCTACTAATCAGGCTGGCAAAGTGAAGACAACATGTAGAAATATAGCAGATATATGGTAGATGACATTTGGTTGGTGAACAACTCCATAATTGTGGTAGCGAGTTCTAGATGGAGAGGGCTTTCCTCTGGGGTAGTGAGAGTAGGTACTGAGACCAGTCTTGAATCTCCTCGTGATGTCCAATCCGTTTACAACTCCTTCCCCCTTTGTTTTGCACATTTCTTTTCTCTCATTTTTACCCCCCCCAAAAAAACCCAACACCCTATTAGTGCTTTAGTAGAATCAGAAATACATTTATGATCCCATATTTTGATCACCCAAGTCTTTTTAGAACACCCGTAATAAATAAATTTACTATTAGTTTCCCCTTGTTTTTATGCTTTTCCATCAGGCCAAAACGTGTGTTAGCATTATTTTATTATTTCTTAGAATAGTCACTTTACAGCGGTGGATTTAGAGTTTCACGGTCCCCTACATTGCCCATTTTCCATTCTTTCCTGCTGTCATTAGTTGGGATTGGAATCACATACGCGTCATATGCCATCACATACATTCGCCGTCTCTGCTCACCCATGCCTATGCTTGCTCTCCTTTACAACAGAATTTGTGGTCCTCCTCCTTGCTATGGTCAAAGCCCCTGGCGGCACTTTCTCACCTGTCATCTCTTACCATTGCAGAACTTTACACAAGGAAGAGTTTTCTTCTTTTGCCTTTAAACATGAATGTTGAAGCTCTTTAAAGCCTCTCACAAGGAAGAGGGTAAGCCCTCACCTCCTGCAGCTCTGAAAGCTCTCAAAACATTCTCCATATTTATTCATCTCCATTCCTTAATTCTGAACCTCCAGCCAACATGCTCATCTGTAATGAAATTTCAGCACACCGCTAAAAGGACCCTCCTCAGGGTCATGGTGGCACCCATCCCACATTCAAGACTACTGGTTCTTTCTACTTTTTCTCTCATTTCATTTCTTTTATAAAGCCTTCTGTCTTTGGAACTGTATTATATCAAATTTTCCTGACTTTCTTCCTACACTTGAGCATAATTTCTTGCTTTTCTTTATGCACTGATTGTCTTACACTCATAGGATTGACCTTCTTACATCCTTCCCTCAGCAGTCCATCACGTTGCTACGCTTATTTCTGTTGTGTATCTATCTTAGGTATCTTCCAAGGTTTCCCTCAACTGCCTCTCTCTCTCTGTCTTTCCCTTGGTCAGTTCCTTGGTCAATATAAATGCTAGAATCATTTTATTTTGGTGTTAAAAGTTAAGTAGAATCATACAGGGTAATATAGAAGTAGAGAGAACCAATACATAAATTAAAGTGAGAAGAAATAAAAGCAATAAATCTTGATATTTACTAATTACCTGGGTAACAATTGCTTTGCAGGTAGGTTTAACTTGACTCCAAAAGAAACTGAACTGTTGAATAAGGAACTCAGCCTCCCATTCAAAAACAAAACAAAACAAAACAACAACAACAAAAAACAGTAATACCATAATGGTTTTCAATGGGGACATATGTTTTAAGATTATAGAACAAAGGACCTTGCATACAATGGCTTTATGAAGAGTGACTATCAGGATGGACCCAAAGTTAGAATATGATTTTTTTTATAACTTTTTGTTTAGAGGTGGAAAGGACTTTAAAGAGGATGGGATGGACATATGAATTAGAAGAAATGGCCACAATAAACATATTTTATAAATAGCAATTGGCATTTTTTAGACCTCCAGTAGATTAAAATTCAGGCCAAAAGCTTTTCTTGGAGGGGAAAGAGATAGCTGCACTAGCATAGTGCTTATCTTGCAAGCACAAGGACCAGAGTTCGATCCTTACTCCAACCTCACATTTATTTAATAAGAGCTGAAAGTACTTTCATGTACTTGTAATGACAGCTTTGTGGATGAATAGACAGGCGGTTATCCCAGAACTTGCTCTATCTAGGTTATTTCATGAGCCTGAAGCCAATGAGAGACCCTATCTCAAAAGCAAAAGGAAGCATGTTACAAAGGGATAACCCCAGAGGTTGTCTTCTGCCCTCTGAATACACATATACACCTGCACAATGTACACACACACACACACACACACACACACACACACACACACACACACAAACTCTTCAAAGTTAAAATCGACTGGAAAAAAAAGTTAGTCACTATTTAATATTTCAATAGGGGGGCTGAAAATACAAAACTAGCCTATTAGGCTGAAATTAATTTGAAAGTCCTAAAGAGAGAAGACATTTTGAAGTTTAGTTTATAAGGAGAAGTAAGTCAAGAATAAGAATGCAGGAGGTAAGTAAGCTGTCACCAAAGGAAACACAAAGAGACCAAGCAGAGAAGACATATCACTCAGACAAGGCCAGGTAAGCCAAAGAAAGGGAATGTGTCCAGAATAATTCTGAGAAGCCAAGGGGAGAGGGAAACACTTGGCAGATGCTGAGGGTTTTTAAGTCTTTGTAAGGCATTAAGAAGAAATGGTTAAAAGGGCCCCAGTGTTTTAAGAAGTGTTTTGGCAAGGGGGTACAAAGAGTTATGACATGCTAAAGTAAATCAGAAGCAAAAATTTCCTTATTGTTTATGCAGAAGAGAAAACTGACAACAACCTCAGATAGTGAGGAAGGTAATCACCCAAGAAAAGAAATAGGAGATGATTAAGCAACTGGCATATTGGAGGATTCTGAAGGAACAGGGAAGCGGAAGTTAAGAGGAAAGGAAGGACAACTTGTCCTGGATGGTGGCAGTTATGTAATGGGTGGAAATAGATCAGCGGCGGAGACGTGGGAGAGGTGCGTTGAGAAGTCTATTCAAACAGGGTGAGATAATGTTTGCCGGCATCGCTGCAAACAAGAGATAAGGGGACACTGAGAACACACGCAGTCATACCCTCCTCACAGAGTCATGTATTACACAAAGTGGGTTTTCTGCTTTCCTTTTAGAAAGTGACTAATGCTTTTGCTTTACCCTGGTGATTGGTCTATCTGTTATATTCAGAAAAGCCTAAACCTGGGAAAGCAAATAGATTTATTGTCATATCAACTCAATCAATAGGAAATCTGCAGGGCTATTGGGAAGGATTATAAAGCCCTTCTAGCACAGCAGGGGAGACCCCTGAGATCGATTAGCCATGTCTTACTTTGGTCCAAGTATAAGGGGTTGATATATTTGCTAACTCTGAAACCATAACTATAACTTATTGAGTCCAATTTTCTGATGTACAAGTCAGAAGGGAGGTGGCATCTAGACATCCATCATCGGCTTCTGTGAAAGTAGAAAGGCCTGGAAGAACTACCCTCCTTCAAAAATGTTTCCCTGCAAGATTGCAACTGTTTGGGGTTGAGTTTGGAAATAGAAAAAGCAAATTCTACTCATTAATCTGTTTTTACATTTCATAGTCTTCTCACCCAAGCTCATTTGAGTGTGGCTTATAAATACATTAGAACTTTAAAGATCGAGAAGCTAACACCAACATCCTTACTATCCCAGAATGCTTTCCTAACTCATTTAGAAGTCAGTGCTGCAGTCTAGATTCTAAAGCTCTTAAAAATATACTATTTTCAAGTAGGTTAAAATAGAACGTAATGGTGGGGAGAAAAAGAGAGCAAGAATATCTCTCTACATAAAGGAAAGTGTGCAAAGGTAGAGCATGTGACGTCAACATGGACAACATTCTTCAGAGCATTCACCCTCAATCAATGGTACCAAAGTGAGTTTTTTGTGAAGACGGCATGTGTGTGGCTGGCAGACAGCTGGCTCCTACATTAGTTTCAAAGCATAAATATTCACTGGAGACAGAAGTTTCATGTATGACAAAAAATTCAGGACCCTAGTCATCTGAGTAAACTAGAAATATATATGTGGATATGTTTTGAGAATATAACTATCTAATGACATTTTTTCAAAGCAATTTCCATCTTGAAAAAAATCACATTATTCTTTTCTATATGCGTTATAAAATTCCTCTGCTATTGTGTAATGTATTGTCCAGGTAAAACTGTTTTTAAAGGAAACAGTCCTGTCTTGATAAATATCAGAAAACGACCAGATGTTTCCTACTGTCTAAGCCAAAGCAGTCAGCAGTGTGATAGAGCTTTCACTGCCGCAGTCATGAACAGCCTACCACCCACAGGCTTCCTAATGCAGAGTGCAGCCCTTCAGGACACAGCAAAGCACGTGACCTAAATAAAAAACAAAACAGGAAGTGAGGGGCAGAATTCTAACATGGTTTCATCATCCTCACAAAAGAGGAGAGAATGCAGCAGTCTTTTTTTTTTAATTTATAGTCTATAAGAGAAATAAACTCATATTCTAATATCTATAGAGTGGGATTTAAATATTTCTCTTCTGAAAAGAAAGTGGCTCATTAAAAAGGTTATAGAAAAAAATAAACTCAAGAATAACATATCAAACTCAGCTGTTGCCCCTGTTTGTTTGGTGTTGCTGTTGCTTTGATAAACACCATCATCAGTAACAGCTTGAGGAGAAAAGAATTTGTTTCAGCTTTAGCTTGTCTGTCATGCAGGGACATAGAGGCAGAAACTGAGGAAGAGGTTACAGACAAGATGGCACTGGCTTTCTCCTCATGGTTTGCTAAGCTTGCTTTTTCATACAATCCAGGACCATATGCTCAGGAGTGGCACCTCTCACAATAGGCTGGACTCTTCAACAGCCATCACTAATCAAGAAAATGCCCCCACAGACTTGCTTCAAGGCCAATCTGATGAAAGGATTTTGTCTCTTCTTCGATGACTCTAACTTATGTCAGGCTGACAAAAACTAACCATCACAACTACTAAGTAATTTTCATATTAGATTAATCTATACGTGTTTATTGTGCCCTTGATTGGCCTGTATTCTGTATCAGGACCACTGGGAAAAATACTGATTGTAGGTGGGAAGGTAGGTTTTTGACTGGCTGTACAATATTGCTGTGACTGGTATACTTTGAAGCTGTGATCAGCTTCATTAACTGGTAACCAGCAGTAAGTACCCCTCTTCCTCAAGACAGTAATACACAAAAGAGCAATGGGAGAAAAATATAACACTGTAGGTTCAAACTGTGGTGTTGACCACAACATGTGGTTTGCAATTACTTATGGAGAAAAGACAAACTTACTTAACTTACTTATTATGAATAAAAAGGAAGTGTATTACTAGATGGTAGGAGATATCTATTGGAAGAGAAGCATCAATATAAGAGGTTATGTCATACCAGTGTATGAGACCCTGGAAGAATTCCAAAACCCACTAGGTATAGAGGATCTGAGTGTACTTACCTGCCAGATAGAGTCATGGGGAGAAAGTTAATAGAGAGAATGGAAACAGACACTAAGATTTCCAAGGATGATTTGTTAGTAATGAACAAAGACAACAAATGGCACAGGCAATGTTCTAAGAAGTATGGAAATGAAAAATAGTGTGAAAGGTATCATACTTACAGAAAACAGAAGAGAATGCTCTCTTCTATTTTATACATGCTGTCAATTCAGCTAGATCATAAAGGTCACAGTTTGAGGCAGGGAAACTAAAAATGGATTGAGGATGAGATGGGAAGTCTATAAGAGAGGGTA